CTCGTTGCATTTTACTGAGTCCGACGTAAACTTTAACTTCTTTTTTTGGTTTAAGTTTCTTTTCCACTTCAGATTTTAAACGTCTTAATAGAAAAGGCCTCAAAACGGCGTGAAGTCTTTCGATTAGAGCATTATCACCCATAAATGTATTGGTATTAAACCACGAATCAAAATCATCCGAGGAATTGAAAACATCGGGAAGAAGAAAATTAAGTAAAGCCCATAATTCGTGAAGATTATTTTGCAATGGAGTTCCGGTTAATAATAATCGATTGGTTGTTTTAAATTCCCGTACGATTTCTGACAATTTTGATTTTTCATTTTTAATCCGATGCGCTTCGTCTATGACCATGTAACGCCAATTTATTTTTTTAAAAACTCCACGTTCTTTAATTACCATTTCGTAGGATGTTACGCACACATCCCATGCACCGGGCAGTAAAACGTCACGAATAAAAGTGTTCTATAAAATTAAAAAAAAAAAAAAAAAAACTTTAATACATTCATTTATAATTAAAAATTTTTATACCCATTCAATATACATACTCTAGCTTCGGCATCTCCTATTAAACAAATGGCTTTAATAGAAGGACACCATTTTTTAAATTCAATCATCCAATTGGCTAATGTTGATTTTGGTACTATTACCATATGAGGACCAGGTATTTGCCTGTAGTGTTTCATATACCTGAAAATAAAATTTCATATTTTCAAAAATCAAATCCCTACTTAAGAAGAAACCTGTTAGTTAAATTCATTTATAATTTTTCAAAATTCAAAATTTTTTTCATAAAGATTTTACCCTAATAACGATATAGTTTGAAGCGTTTTTCCCAAACCCATTTCATCGGCTAAAATACCATTAATATCATTTTCATACAATGAAATCATCCAATTTAAACCTCTAATTTGATAATCCTTCATTTCTCCATTTTTAATGTAAGGAGGGGTTGAATCAAATGATATAATACTTTTTCTGCTAGCATTAGTTTCAGCTAACAATTCTTCATCTTCTTCCTGTTCTGTTTTTCTATGTCGATGACTGAATGATGAAAACGTAAAAGTGATTATTTGTTTATAAAATTAAATTAAAAATTTCAAATGAAGAGAAACGATTATATATAAAACTACTCACTCTCCAGGATTTCCAGCCAAGCTAGTTTTCTTTTTAGGTCTTCCAGGTTTCATTTTTAAAGGGCTAGTTGGAGTTTTATTACCTCTTTCATTATTCATCATAAAATGAGAGAATATTTCAGTTTGACGAAGTAAATAATCGAACCTTTTACTCCTATCATTTTCCTAAAATGAAAATAAATGCAAATATTATAGAAGCATTCGATTTAAATAGATGTTTAATTTTAATAAATTTTTTATTTGCTATGTTATATAATTTTGTACGATAAATAATAAGCAACTAAAAATAAATTATTTACAATAACTAATAAGAAAAACTTACAATTTTTGTATCACAATCCTCAGTTTTACCTTTGGATGACAAGGTATCTGCTGATGAGGCATTCTAAAAAAAAATTTTGACATTCAATAAAAAAAAATTTACTAACTTTTTAGTGTTTTTAACAAATCCAAATCAAAAAATAAAATAATAAATACTTTATTTACAACAAATGACAGATTTCATCTCTACCTTTTGAGTGTTAGTTCACCGGTTTGAATATTTTAAGAAGAATAGTATAATTTAAAACGTCAAAGTGTAAAAAAAAAAATTTTTGTATAAAATATTTTTTGAAAATAGTTTTAAAAAAAATTTTTTAAAATTATGATAAATCCAAAAAAAGAATTTCTGTCAAATCAAAACTATCTTAACCATAGGACGCGCTTGCAACAAGTGTAAAATGACAGTAAAATAAACTTACGGAATTTTCGGCGGTATCGCCAACATCCATGCTTTCATCTACTTTAGACATATTAAAATTTTAGTGACATACGTTTTAACTAAATAAACCGGTAAAATTTTACCTTATTATGACAAAAAAACAAATAACCTAAGCAAATGGCGGCGGGACCACAAAACCGTACGTCGCCAACAAACGAAGTGGAATTAAATATAAAGTATCGTGCACGTAGACTTTTAGGCTTAGCTGAGAAGCGTCGATTACTCGTATAAACTGCAAGCTCTCTTTTCCACGTCAAAATGGCGGATGATCTAAAACGTAAGTAAATACGAATTTCAAACTGTATTTTTTCAAATTTTTAGATAATTGATATTCATTAGCGTTTCAAATAATAAAGGTTAAATGTGTGAAATTAATTTGCGAATGTTTTTTTGTTGTAAATCATCATTAAACTGAAAGGTAATCGTTCTGAAATTCATATTGAGTAATTGTCTATTTTGAATTTAAATCAAAATGGAGGGTTCAACGTTTTTCACGGGCAAAATGGAAGTAAATAGCGCGTCAAAAACCGTTTATACATAACTTTGAAAAAAATTTTGTGAAAATTGCATGGAAAATTCTTATGTGCATTTAAAAAAAAAGAATAAAATTTAAAAATTTACACCAACTGATTATAAATGAATAAAACGCGATATAGATATAATAAATGGGGGTTAAAAACACGTACACAAGGTACTTTTTCGTTTCAATATTTAGTACCATAATAAAAACATTTATTTATTTATGAATGTTCTTATTATTCGCTTGGTTCTAAGTTTCTTATATTGTTCAAACGAACAACAAAGGCAATTTTTTAAAAATTTTTAATCAAGTCTTGTGTTAAACATAATTTAATTGATAGGAATTCGACATTATTATCATTTTCAAAAATTAAGTAAAATTAAACTATATTCATCTTATTGTTTATAACTTTCAAGTTATTAAAAGAAAATAAATATTGTACATATAGATAGAATCAATATTATATTTTTTACGCGAATGTAAAACAGTTAATTTTATCAATTCCATTACTTGTTGACAATTCTTGTGAAAAATTGGAATAACTAGTAAAATTTTCAAATATCTATTTTATAATTAAAACTATAATAAATAATTAGTAATTTTTTTTTGTAACCTAATAATTGTTTTATAAAATTCAAATTTAAAATATTAATCATTTTAACTGTATAATATTTATTTGTTTAAAATAATTTTTGGGCTTATACAGTAGTAGAAGTGTATGATAAACTCTAAATAGTGATAAAATACTTTTGATTAAAAACTTTTTCTTTTCCAAATTTTATTAAAAGCAAACAATTGTATTTTCATTGAAATTTTTTTTCTATAAGAAGTCTATAAGATTAACGATTGAACTAATTATTTTAAATTAATATTGATATTAATTATCTGAAATAATAATATTTATTGTTATTAATGAACAATAGGGATATGTATTATACATAAAATTAAGTGATTGAGTAAGTTTTCTTCGAATCATTCCCTGATTTTATAAAACTATCATTTAAACTCTCACCAGCATACTTTCTAATAATCCCACACATTTATATTTTATTTACAGTTTAAAACAATTATTTGTATATATATTTATTTATTTAAGGTGGCAAAAATATGAAAGAAGTTGACACGACTCGAAAAAGTAGCAGATTACAAAATTCAAGATTAGGGAAACATGTTAACAATGTTTCCGGAACGGAATTAAAAAAGTGTACAAAGAAAAAAAAGTCTGATTTAGGCTCCGATAGTGAAATTGAAAAAATTTCTAAAAAAGTTAATAAAATGCCTAGTAAGTTTTTCATAATTTAATATATTTAAATAAAAAAAAAAAATTTTAATTTTGCTAATTATTATCGTTATGAAAAATAAAATTTTAATACTATAATACTTTACTTTTTTATTCGAATTATTTTTATATAAAATATTACAATTAAAAATAATGATAATTCATATAATTGTCGAAAATGTAAATAATTAATTACTGTAATTTATATTATTTCATTTTAACGACAAGCATTGATATGAAATTCTTTGAGTTTTTTAATTTTTATCTTACAATTTTAATTTTGTTTTCTAGAAGGAAAAAAAACAATTGTCAGCAATTATTCGAGTAAACATAAATGAAATGATCAATTTTACAATTAATAAAGACTATTGTTTAATCGAATTAACAATGTACTAACAAAAAATCAATTTGAAAAGTATTTTATTCATAGATTTAGTCAACATTTTTATTTGTGTGTTGACAAGAAAGATGTTCTAGTCGAAGAATAAGTTTGCATTAAAATAAAATCATATAAATTGATATTTTGAATTTTAGAAAGATCGAAAATAGATCATTCTCATAAAAGAGGTAATAAGAAAATGAGCAACAATGCCATAAATGATAAAAAAATGTCTTCTAACGAGGAAGAAAACGAAGATGAGGATGAAGATGGAGATGTTGAAGATGAAGAAGATGAAGGTAAAAAATCGAGAAAAAGTTCTGAAAGCAACGATTCAAAATTTAGTCCAGCCGTTTTAGGATTACTTAGGGTGGGAGACAATTTTCCGAAAAAAGAAAAAAAAGAACCTGTTTTATTAAATAGAAGAGGAATGGTGAGTTAATTTTAAACTTGTTAATTTTCAATAAAATTTTTCTTTTTTTTTTTTTTTTTTAATTAATTGTTAAATATTTTTCTTTTTTTTTAGCCTCCTAGAATTAGAAAGAAAAATAGATTGTTTTTCGATGAAAGTGTTATTAATCCTTTAATGCCAAAGCAAAGAAGCAAAAAAGATCATTCTGCTAAAGCGAAAGAGAAAAATACTACAGCTAAAAATAAAGTTAAAATAAAAGTTGAAAAGAAAGAGGTGAATATGCTATTTATTTTTATGTACATAATAATTTTCTGATTAATTAATCACAAGACGAGCATTAACACGTTTTTTTTTTTTTTAGGAAGTGGATCAGAAGCCTCAACCTACGGTAACTGATATGAAAGCTGGTCAAAAAATCGGTATGAGATTGCGAAATTTGTTGAAACTTCCCAAAGCTCACAAATGGGTTTGCTACGAATGGTTTTACAGCAATATTGATAAGTAAGTCACCGTAAAGTTTTCCTCATTGAATCATAAAAATATCTTTTATGTATATATTTAAAAATATGTTTACTGTAATTGACCGAGTCGGACATATTTCCAGGGTATTATTTCAAGGGAAAAACGATTTCATGATTTGCCTTCAAGAATCATTTCCTCAACTCAAAACAACTTCTTTAACAAGAACCGAATGGTGTCAAATCAGAAGGCTGATGGGAAAACCCAGACGTTGTTCACAGGTATTTCGAATAACGTTTTTGTTACATTTATTTGTAAACTGATTGTTAATTTTTAATAATACGTTGTTTTCATTCAAGGCATTTTTCGATGAAGAAAGGCAAGAACTGGAAAGGAAAAGAACTAAAATTCGACAGCTTCAACAAAGGAAACTATCAGATTTATCAAGTTGTAAAGATTTACCCGATAGAGTTCCTTTACAATTAACAGTTGGACGAAAAGTTACGGCTCGATTAAGGAAACCACAGGATGGACTTTTCACGGGTACCGTTGATGCAGTAGATACGAGTAATAATACTTATCGTATAACATTTGAACGACCTGGACTCGGAACGTACTCGGTACCAGACTACGAAGTTTTAGTGAGTGTTTTTATTATTAATTTTTTGGAAATTTTTTTTCCCGAATTATTATTACTTAAATATATTGTTTGTTTTTAGTCTAACGAAGAGCCGGATATGTTTTCCCTTAGTACATTCAATAAAAGATTTCATAATCAGCCTAGGTATTTACCATCGACGAGAAGTCAATTGATTGAAATAAAAAGCGAAGCCAAAGTTGATGCCTCACGATCTAGTTTAGGACAATTTCCTCTTGCATTTCTCGAAATGATAGTAAGAAAATTACTATCGATTAATTATATTTATTTTTGCCTCTTTAAATTCTTCATTATAATTATCTCGATGTGTTATAGGTTACTATATCGAAAATATTAACCGACAAAAAAAAAATGGTACAAAAATTAAAGGAATTAAATGCGGAAGCGGAAAGGCGTACAAGTTACGGTCAAGATTTCACGGAGGATTTTCAAAGAAGATACGCGACTCTCGTTATCGAATTAGAATTTTTAAACAAGCATTTGGAAAGGTATTTAGCGAGCGTACAAAAATATTGTCACGAGGTAATTAAATAAAAGAAAGAAGAAAAAAGAAAAATTTTTTTTGTATATTTTATTACCATTCGAAATTTTTTGATTGTTTCCTTTTTTTTTTTTTTTTTTAGATTGCTCCAGAACAAAGTTCAATAGCAATGTTGACGCCGTCATATTTAAGAGATAAAAGTAATGGAGAAGCGAGAGCTTTAGTAGATAATTATTTTCATCAACCGGATAAAGAACCCATTCGTAATAAATTTTTGATCGAACTCGTCACGGATTTAGTCGCTTTAATGATTCAAGTTAAGGTAAGTTGAAGTAAATAATATCATTATCAGTAAATATAAAATATATGAATTAATTTCGAATTATCCGTGATTACAGAGTTTATCAGACTCGGATCAAAATGCCCACGAATTAACGGTTTTGAAACAATCGATGGCTCACATAAAAAGAAGAATATCTCCCGGAAATCAACTCGTGTTCCAAAACAGCGTTGAAATACACATGCAATACATGGAAAGCGGTTTGGGTCAACACGGGACTTTAGCACCTTTTTTTCAACAAACGCGACCGCCGACTAAATAAAATAAATAAATAAATAAAATAAATAAATAAAAAATTATCACGATTAATACGATATAATAATAATTATTTTGTGTATATAGTTAAACAGAGAGAAAAAAAAGGATATAATATTATTTTTTAAATAAATGGCAACCATTTTGTTTTTTTAGTCAGTTTTGTAAATACAAGAAAGGAGAAATATGGTTAAGACAAACATTTTAAAATAAAAAAAAACGTTTTACTTTTTTTTTTTTTTTACTGTATAAATATATCGAAAACTCCTCTTGTTTCTAATAAAAATATTTATTTAAATAAGCAGAGGACTGGATGACGGTTAAATGATAAAAATTTAACCGATTTTTCACCATAACAACAGTTAATACTATGTAATATATAAATAAATTATTATTATTATTATTATTTCTCAATAATATTTTCGAATTCGATTATAATATAATTGATAAAACCGTTGGGAAATTTTCAAGGGAATTTAATAATAAAAAAATTTACAGGATTTTATCATAAAAAAAAAAAAATTTTAAACTAACATTAAAATAAAAAAAATCCATGAGGAGCTTTAATAACATATAATTAATAAATTTTAAATAATAATAATAATAATATTTTTATTATACGTGTTTATATCGGTTATAAAAATTATTAAATTAAATTTAAATTATTTTATATGTAAAAGCAAAATTGCAATATTATTATTATTATTATTATAATTAGCTTTGTATAGTTATCGAATAATTAATTCTCTTTGACTATTATTTTGTTGCCTCCATGTATGTGCACATAATATAAAATATATATAAATATAATAATAATAATAATAATAATAATAATAATTTTTTTTTAAGTTAAATTAATAATAAATATAATATAAATTTCAAAAAAAATTACAAATAATATTTTATTGTTGATAATTAATATAAAAAAAGGGAAAATAATAGATAGAAATAAAGGAATAAAAAAAAATGAAAAAAATTTTGATTTAATATTAATTATTTTATTTTATTATTATTATTATTATTATTATTATATTATTATAATTCTATAGTTTTTATTTATTGTTTTTAAAAAAAAAAAAAAAAATTATAATTTTTATTTAAATGCTGAAAATTATGTTTACATTTTTTTTTTTTGTATTATTATTATTATTATTATTTAAATGAATAATTTTTAATAACATTTAATTTTATAATAAATAGACTGTAATTTAAACATTGATATTTATATGGTATAATTTTTTATCAAAGGTATTCAATTGAAAGTTTTATCATTATTATTATTATTCGGTTTACACGATTTTAATTTTTTTTTTCTTAATCGTAATCATTAAGAGTTTATATATATATTGAATCGAAACTTTTACATCATGATATGATTAAAATATTATTTTAAAATCATATTGTTTCGAATGATTCGATTATATTATTCAGCTGACTGATGAAATCGGCTGACAATTTAAATGTTAATTAATTAGAAGATTGATACATTATTAATTAACTGTCATGTATGGCTTTGTAGTTTTCAACTTCTTGGCTAAATACATTCATTATATATTCGCAATGTTCTTCAAGATCAGTCAATCCTTTTTTTAATATGTCAACAGCTCTTGCTCCAGATGTTTGTATTCTAAAATTTATTTTTTCTTCTGATGGATGTGGAATTGTATAACCGCAAAATGTTACTTCAGAACTATAAATAAATATGACTTTTTATTAACTTTAAATTAAAATCATTTCTTTTGCTTATTTCTTTTAGATATTAGTTAATGAAATCATATGGAATTTTTTACTTACTATCTTGAAATTACACTTCTTAGAGCGTTACCCAATGTATGTCCCTCGCCATCGAAAACAAAAGTTCTAGAACTTTCATCGCTTGGATTATCACCTACGAGCTAATTATAAATTTCATTAAAAAACAAATTTTTTTAAAGCAATTTTTATTTGTTTTTTACAAACCTCTGCAATTCCCATTATTTAATAACTTTATAAACTTTTTAATTAACGTTAAAAAAAAAAATTTATAGGTTATGTTATTTGAACGTGTCATTAGAAAACCACGACTCGTTATAACAATTTTAAATCTTATCCCCCCTCCCCTGGTTCGGTGTAAAAAAAAAATTTTTTTGAATCCTTCAAAAATTATATTAATAAATTATAATTATAAATTTTAATTCATAATAATAATTATTACATAATACTTTTTTTCCGGGAGGGGGGAAAATTTAAAAAAACTACTTTTTAACGTATAAATATGGATAAATATAAATCGTAAAATTAGTTCAAAAAATTTTCACCAGGTGACGAATGTAAAACAGTTATGGCGATTTAGTTTACCCGCGGATTTCTAACGTGGCGGTTTATTAATAATAATAATTTTTTTATTTTATTTAAAATTTTTTTAATTTTATGTTTTTTGGGGGGAGTAGAAATCATTTATTAAGTGTTATTTTATGTTTGAAAAAAAAATTATTTAAAACAAAATAATGGATAATTTAATTTATAATTAAATTAAAATAATTAAAAAAGGTAATTACAAAAAAAATTATTATCATTATTATTATTTGGCTTATTTACGTAGCTTAATTATCATTTAAACATTCGTTAATACAACAATTTAAAAAAAAATATTTAACATTAACTGAATTTGTTTATTCAGTAAATTTTCTTGTTTTTTTTTTTTTAAAAAAAAAAAAGAAAATCTTTTTCACCATGGGAAAATTTTCAATTTTCACCCTAGTAAGTTTTTATTATGACACGTTTCAAATGTCTACATTTATGAGAAAACATGGTTAAAATGAATTGTTGAAAAACTTTTCTTTCTGTTTTTTTTTCCTTCTTCTTCTTCTTGTTTTTGTTGTTGTTGTTGTTGTTCGTGTTTTTGTTTGTTGATTATATACTTCGAACGTGGATTAAAAAAAAAAAAAATTGTAAAAGTTTTTAGACAGAAAAAAGAAAAATTTTAAATCAAAAGCTAAATTTTTTATATGATCATCATCATGATTGTTTTTCTTCTGCTTTTGTCTTCTGCTGTTTTATTCATTTCACTCTCCAATAATTAAAATTTATTTTAAAAAATACAAAAACAAATTTGATGACGTTGAAAAAAAAAAAGGTTAACTCAAAATCATTTTAACATTTTATTAAATTTTTCAAATGGGAGTAAAACCAACAACAGACGACAACAACCACGACAACAATTTTTTTTTGTTTGTTTTCGTTTCTCATTGACAGGAAAAAATTTGAATAAAACAAAAACTCATCGTTATTCAAAATTTGATTTATGACTTTTTTATTTCAAAAAAAAAAAAAAAAAAAAAACAACGACGACGACGACAGGAAAAAAAAATTGATTTTATTTTATTTTATTTATTATTCGAATTCACGAGTTTTTTTTTTTTTTTTTTTTTTTT